TATAAGAAATCTACTAATAAAATAAATATTAATCTATTAAATAGATGATTAAAACTAATAAAATAATCTATAAACTACGTAAAAATATTAAGAAAAATATAAAATATAATATAGAACTAAAAATAAATATATACTAATATTAAAAAAAAGTAAATTTTATTACAGTAATAAAAATTTTTATATTTAATATAAGGGAGACAGGGGTATTGTGATGAAGTGGGATATTTTGATGAATTTGAAATATCTCATAATCCAGTAATTCAAACTGAACGATTTTGGCACCATTCAATTCCTCTCAATTAGAGGATTCAAATGGTATAAAAATTACCCGATTAGGAACACTAGGTTGCGAAACCTAAAAGGCAATATGGTATTATAACGTATAGGATATTTATGACGAATCAATGACCATGCATTGTAATGAAGCACACATACTGAGCGCTGTGAAAAAAACTAGTAATAACATGGCGTGACCCTTTTTAAGCTAAAAACAAAAAAAAAAACATATCATAATTGAATTTGCATTGCATATTTAGTACTTTGTAATAATTACTGTATTGTCATTGAAATAATGCCCAGCCATTATTTGAAGCATACAATTTCCAGAACTAAGAATTAATTTAAGCAAAGATTTTATTGTTTTTTATATTTGTCAAAGTAAACACTTAGATTCCTGAAAATTGTATGCCTCAAAATAACACTCTGGAGCGTTATTTTGCAATGATTTGTAAAATTAATTGATTAAACGTGTTTCGGGCCAATAAATTTAGATCTGTCAATATTTATCTCACATATTTTATAAAGTAATTATGTGTATAAAAATATCTATTTATTGCATAGTAAAAGTGAATGTTGTTATTTTACTATACTGTTATATTTTTCATTTATTGCATAGTAAAAGCGAATGTTGTGATTTAAAGTTATTTTACCATAATACTGTTATATTTTATAAGACCATATTGTAATTTTGTAATACATTAAACATGCCTCCAGTTTCTTATATTAATCGACGTAGCACTATTTGTAAGGCACTTAATGAATTAAATAATTACCCTTCTAACTCTAAATGCCCAAGCATCAATAAGGTTGCTAAAAGTTTTGGAATCCCAGAAGCTATTCTTAGACATGCCATAAAAAATGGCAACTCTCCTAACCGTTCAGGCCCACCAACTATACTTACTGAGCATGAGGAAAATTAACTTGCCAGCTATTGTATTAATATACAAAAGCTTGGGTTTGGCCTAACAAGATCTGGCATTAATCATTGTGTAATGGAAATCTTAAGATTAAGCAAGTGACTACACCCTTTTAATAATAATATACCAGATCAAGATTGGTAGATGCGTTTCATGAGAGACCACCCTGAGCTGTCATTTCGCACTCTCCAAAAGTTATCAGAAGCACAAGCACAAAAGGCCAATATGACAATTGTAAAAGATTATTTTGAAAAACTTGGTAAAATCATTAATGAACATTCACTTACCACTGCACAGATTTGGAATATGGATGAAACTGGTTTCATCCTTATTCCCAAATCTGAAAAAGTTATTGCACAAAAAGGTGCATGCCAGGTTCACAAAGTCATACATGAAAACACTACTGAACATATTTCAGTAATACCTACAATTTCAGCTGCTGGTTCATCTATACCACCTTTATTTATTTATAAAGGTGTTCGTACAATTTCTGGTCTATTAGAAGGTGCACCTCCTAGAGCTGTTATGGGTTTTACAGATACTGGGTATATGCGTGAGGATCTTTTTCAAATGTACCTAGACCATTTTATTAATTTTATCTCATCTATTCGACCAGTCTTGTTAATACTCGATGGCCATAAAAGCCACATTAACTATATGAGTGTAGGCTTTTGTCACCAAAATAATATCCTTCTCTTTGCTCTACCAACTCATATGATACATATTTTACAACCATCTGAGATTCCATTTGCGAAATTAAAAAAAGGATATAGTAAAGCATATGATAAGTATCATACTAATAATGGTAAAACAGTAACTAAGCATACCTTCGCAGAGATTTTTGGTCCCATTTTTATTGAAACCTATACACCACTAGCAATTTGCAACGCCTACAGAACTACTGGCATATGGCTATTTAATCCTAGTGCGATTAGTGATGATTGTTTAGACCCTTTTCTATTAACTGAACAATTTAATGAACCGGCCGACCAACCTTTAATTTTGCCATTACTTTCTCAACCAAATCATTTTCATTTTACTCGCCTAAATGTTAATAGTTTAAAGGAAGAAAATATTATACTTAAAAATGAGAATGATTTGTTGAGATCTCAGGTTGAGAAACTAAATGAGGAACTAGAAACTTATAAGAACCCTGGGACATGTGCATTACGTTTAGCACTCAAGTATCCAGTTTCTCAAGCTTAAAATTCTCAAGCGGCACCTGATCATGCAAGATCTGAAAACCAGTTTGAGCCTATGTCGTTCCTACCTAAAAAAAAGAGAAAGACACTTCCATTTGCACGGCTTTTAATTGAAGAAGAAAGTTGGCATCAGTTGAATGAGTTGAATGAAAAAGCTGAACGAAAAGCTGAAGAAATAAAGCGAAAAAAAGAGATTGCAGCTCAAAAAAAAGAAGCGGCTGCCTAAAAAAAAAAAGCGGTTGCTAAAAAAAAAGAAGCAGCTGCCCAAAAAAAAGATGCGCTAGCTAAAAAAAGGAAGCAGGCATTCAAAAAAAAGGCAGTGCAATGACTAATTCGAACACTAAAAAAAAATTAGAATAAAAAAAATTTTTTTTTATAATTAAATCGAAATTCGTCAGAATACCCCTTTTGCTCAAAATTTCTGATTTAAAATGCATTGCACATGATGATGATCTTTTAATTAATTTTGATTTGTCTTTCGCCTTTTTTTTATAGTGCCACATTTTTGAATACAATGTAAATCAATAGGTATAAATATTTAAAGGTTTGTACAGGTTAGTAAAAAGTTTTTATAGTAGAAATCTTAACTTTGTCACAATACTCCTGTCTCCCTTATATAGCTTATAATTCTTAAAAGTCTGTTATAAACTTATAATAATTATAACTATTCAAAATAAATATAGTGTTATTTATAAAGATTATATACAATTTGAAGTTTTGTTACAGAACTTTAATAATTAATATTAATCTTTTAGTATTAATATTTAAGCAATATATAACTTTAGAAAACAATAATAGAAATATATTGTTTTTTAATTTTTAAAATGACTCTCTTTAGTCTTTTAATTTTATTAATACTTTTGTCAAGTATTATAATAAGTATACAACTAGTTATATATATAACTTTTCTATATTACCTATTTAAGGAGTCTACTTAAAGGTTATCTACTAATTGTTATACCTAATATTTCTGCTTAGGTGTTCTATTTAAAACTTCTGATCTGAAATCTTTATACTACTTCACTAGATTACTTGTATTTAGATCCTTGTCTTAATCTTAGAACAATTTTATTTTTAAGATAAACCTATCAGAGTAAGTTATACATTCCTTATCTATTACTAACTTGGATTTTCTGCTATAACTAAGACCAATACTTGCAGTCAAAATTATTTATTAAACTGCTATTATTCTTGTAAAGTTTATTTAAATCTTGGTACTTATTTTTTAGATGTTTTTTTTTATTATCTTCTACTAATCATAACTCAGAACTGACAGACTTCCTAGACTTTTAATTCAGATAACCCAATAAAATAATAGTAATTAGTTAATTAGTTATTTTTTATATTAATTTATTAAACATAATCTATAGATCAATAGTATAATATTTAATATTTTTAAATCTTAATTACAAGATTATAAGTTCAAGTTCAAAAAGTAATAAAATTCTAACAGAACTAGAATTAAAAAAAATTTACAAAGGATTTATATTTAAAAAAAAATAAGAATAAGATTTATTTAAAAAAAATACAATAATTAATATAAGCAAAGAGTTAAAAACAATTAAATAAGATATAATTTAGCAACAAATAATATTAATATTAAGAGAGCTTAATTTTAAGAATATATAGAATTAAGAAATTCAAAAAATATATATAATCTGACTAGTAGATTATGTAAAATTAGAAAACTGTAAACTGAAGGATATAGTTGGTTCTATATTATAGAATTAGAAACTTAAAACATTATATAACAAACTTAATAACAGTATTATTTACTTTATTAACAATTATTTCATTAATAACTTATTTGATCAATATTATATAAAATTAGAATTAATCTTTTATTATATTTTTATTAAATTGTCATTTGGTATAATGTTGATTAAATGAGTTATTAATAAAATAATTGTTGGTAAAATAATACAAACCTTTTAATAAAACATGAATTATTTTACAGTTTAGTGACATACAGAAACTATATATTGTCTGATAATCTTTATAGAATAACTCTGACCTTTAAAAGATGTAACAGATCATAAAAGTATCTAAAAATCTTTAAGATAATAAAAGAAGATAAAAATAAAAAAAATATATTAAACACAATTCATCAAGTACATATAAAAAAAGATTTTAGATAAAAAAAAAAAAAAATTAAAAATTGTTTACCAAATTTATACAAGACAAAAATTAGAGTTTTGTATTTGACTACAAAGCCAAAGATGCTTGTTAAATGATTTCAAAATATCCCTAATTATGCTTATTTTAATTGATGATCTGCCAATTATCTGGACAAAGATCATAATGTAATATGATGCAGATCACTATGTAATTTGCTATAGACTGAAATGCAATGTATGCCTATCTAAAACTTTTTTGATACTAAGTTAACAATCCAAGTCAATTAATTGAAAATTATAGAACTCACTGAAATGCATCTAATGACGGTTAGATTATCCAAATCGGTCCAGTAGATGTCGAGATATTGTCAAAAAACGATTGGCCGACTATGTAAAATTTCTATGTAAAACAATAGTCTGTTTACATAGAATTTTACATAGTTGTCCAATCGTTTTTTGACAATATCTCGGCATTTACTGGACCGATTTGGATTATCTAAGCGTCATTAGATGCGCATCAGTGAGCTTTACAACTTTCAATTAATCGACTTGGACTGTTAACTTAGTACCAAAAAAGTTTTAGATAGGCGCACGCTGCATTTCAGCCTATAGTAAATTACATAGTGATCTTGTCCAGATGACTGGCGGATAAAAAAAATTAGAAGTAACAATCGATTTTACATTTATACTACAGTAGCCAATCAAAACGACACTTTTTTTGAAAGTGATGCAAATCCAAAAAAGGAAATTTTTCTATATAGATCTGCAATCTTTATGTGACGTGAAAATGAAGGCTTTTTTAAAACACCAAAATTTTGGCTAAGAAATCACCGTTGACGTTCTGACAAAAAAAAATTACTGGCCATAATTTACTATATTACATTTCTTATACTAACCTTAACCCTAACGCTGGTCAATATTTCACGTGCTTTTAGCGAAATAACTTAACCGAATTTTACTATTGGCACGTGATTTGTGTTACTTGCAGAAATAAGTATTTCCCTATATAAAGTAACAAAAACTCTTTCTTTAATTCTAATCTTAACCCCTTTACACTGCCGATGACAAATAGATTCGTTTACTTCTATAGCAGTAATTGTATTTAATTAAATAAAGATTATTAATAAAGTTTTTGAGTTATTAGTTTGGTCAAACCCTTTGCATAATTATCATTTGTTCTTGAACATCTTTTCCAAACACAATAAGTAATGACCTTTTTGTAAAATGCTCATGTCGATTTCTGGAGTGAATGTAAAAGCAATAAAAGACAACTATCTTCTCAAGTTAGCTTCTTTTTGATTAAAAAAATTGGCAATTTATTATTCCCGGAAGCAAATAGTTTACTTTTAAAAAAGATAAATTTGCAGAGGACCTCTTAAAATTTTTATTATTTGGAATCCTTACAGCGTTAACAACGATTTATTTAATAGCATAATAGACAGTGTCCAAAAATAACATTTAAGTTAATTATCATGTCCTTCATTTAAAAAAACAAAAAAAAAATAACGATAATAGTATTTCTAATGCTACCGAATAATTTATTGTTGTAAAGGTATCACTTAGATTTTATATAAGGGCCAAATTCTTTCCAATTTGGAACATCTATTTTCTCATCTACTCTGAAAATCTTTTATCAACGACCTTACGGCATCTATAGTTCCAACCACGTATCCAACAACTCCAACAAATATCACGAACAAACCCAACATCAATTCCAGAAAGGATAACTTACTCCATCCAAATAATTTCATATAAAAAATCACAGGAAAAATAAACACGAGGCAATACATCGCTAACGCTCCAAATAATGCCATAAAGTCGCCAAAAAGCGGCATAAAAATGGCGACAATCACGCATCCAACAACAATACCTAAGCGAAATAAAACTCTTAATAGAAATTCCGAAATAACTGAATAATGCTCGCATGTAATCTTTAAAAACTCTTCAGCTTCCGACGCGAATGATGTTAAAAGAATTGGTGATGTAAGGAGCATATCAACAGTAATAAATATGGTTGCAATTGTCACAATTGGTCCTAATCATATTATTATATATTAAAAATTATAAAATGTAAGTTATTTTGCTAATGATACAGTATTATGCATGTATCATATTATTTTTATGATTTTACCTTCATGTTTACTTGTGTGAATCATCCCGCAATCACCAAACACATAATATCCAGAAAGTGCAACAACTAAATACATAATTGTACAAGTGAATAAAGCGGCAGTTACCACTTTATTCCAATTTCTACGTTTCCGCATATTCCTTTCAATGGATGGAAATAGACTATTTCCTCCATATGAGAGCGATATTGCCGCGAATGATATAGGAAATTGATATAAATTGTGCGAACAAGGATCATAATAAGCCATAACTTCAGTAAAGTCTCTACACGATAATGCAGCGACAGCAACTACAGAAAACAATGTCGAAAGTGCGCCAAAAATGCTATATCAAGTTAAAGTATCATTCAGTTATCAACTCCTTTACATGATAAATAAATTTTATTACTAACCTTAAAAACAATACATCTTTCAACGATTTCATTAATATAAATGGTATGGAAATTAATGCAGCAGCTATACATATCCATATTCGAGTTTCTACGTGTATTTCTAAGTGAACTGTTACTAAGTTGTCAAGGTTCTTTCCCGCAATAAGTAAGAAAAATATTGGAATTCCTAGCAAAATCAGGTTATTGAATCCAACCAAAATATATTTTCCAATCTTCCCATACGCATGGTAACCGATATCTGCATAAGTACTTAAACGATTTTTGCTATTTTAGACGATAAGTATGAATATTGTATTAATCAATAATGTTCAAATAATTTCTTAGTTCTTAACTGGTAAAATTTTAGGTAATTAATATTAAATATACCCATCGTAATAAAGACATTTGATTAAAATTATACTTGTATATTGAGTCATTAGCATGAGTAATGCTACTATTGCAATCCCAATCCAACTTCCTTGTTTGATGGCATATGGCAACCCGAAAATTCCTGTTCCTGCAATCAAGCAACTATGATTTGATTTTTTTTAGTTTAAATGCTTAATAAAATAATTATGTCGGAATCATATTAAATAAACTCACGTGACA